GCTTGTTGTTGACGTCTGTCGTTTCGTCTGCCTGTTGGGTTTGCGGCTTCGGCCTCGTCCGGAATTGTCTGACATTTTACGCTTTTTGACTGCATTGCATAGCGAATTTAGTAGGACATCAGCCAGATGCAAACGATCGAACCAATCAAGTCCCAAAAGATTTAAATCACTCTTGGTGACGTAGCAAATTCCTGTGAATTTGGTATTGCGGAAGGAAACGGAACATTTGAGTTCACCAATAAGTTTGAGCCGCCCACCACAGGCGCTGACAGGAGACAGGGAAGTATTGGTGATAGGTGGTCTGTCAATATTATTCCAAATTTTCTCTGATATAACAGTAATATCAGAGGCGGTATCTAGCTGCAGACGTGTATCATGACCATTCATCTGAAGATCAAGATATTTCCGCATACCTGGTGTTGTGACTTGACAGGTTGCGCGTTGACTCAATGATCTCCTTGGAGATTTAGGACCGACAGTTTGTCGAGCTTTCGCTGGATTATGATATCTGGGTTTGCGTGGCTGACAAAAACCATTTTTATGACCGATGATTTTGCACTTGCTGCAACGATGATTTTTGTATGGGTAAGACTTTACAAAGTGCCACGCGCCACAATGCCAGCATGGTGATGGTGGGGTCTTCTTTGCAGTAATTTGTGAAGTTGGACGAGTATGTGTAGATTTCCGCGGGACATTAAGAGAAGGTGGGTCAGGAGTGGATGATGAGAGATTTTCGCTCTTTCGTAATGCATGAATATCAGAGCTTCTCGAAGGTGTTGATTCGACCAGGTGTGTATCTTTCTGTAAATTAATCAGCCGTTGATATTCATCAGCTATGTCATATAGTGTTAACTTAGGATTTTGTTCTAGCTGATTGAGCAGTCGAGTTCGGATATCTGTGAAACGAGGAGATTGAAGACTGCATATGAGAATCAAGGCTTTGAATTGGTCATCTGTTAAGGACTTGAGTCGAAATCTCTCATATTCTCGGTTGACTGTGCCAACGTGAGTAAGAAAATCATCATTTTCATTCATTGTCAGCTTGAGGAAACGATAACGTATGCTGAATAATGAGGAGTGGTCTCCAAAATGTTCACGCAGCAGCTTTATTGTATCATCGAAACACTTGTCACGTGGTTTCTGGGGTAAAATTAGGTTGCAGTACCGTTCATATTCTGCCGGACCCAATATACGTAACAACACTCGCACCTTCCAAGCATCGTCTTGTGAGGCGTGATCAACAGTGAATAAATCCTCATAACGTTGATACCATGTGTCAAAAGTGACATTAGCCTCTGGGTCATAATTGAACTGTGAAATACTGTTCACAATGCCGTCGACAGAGGGTAGCATGGTATGATTGGGATTGCTTGAAGGTGAAGCTGGACCAGTCTGTTGGTTGGCGAACATTTCCATTAATTTCATTTGTTGTTCAGATAGTAATACCAATTTAGAATGATCCATAATAAATTGTTATGTACTAGTTTCCCTGTCGCCAAATTGTTATGTTGCTGCTGCTGAGTGGTTAATAGTAGTTTTCCCCGTCGCCAAATTGTTATGTACTCGTCGCTAAATTGTTGTTATGGACTGGTCGAGAATTTAATAGTCCTGACACAAGAAGGCGGAAATCAGAAGACCACTAGGTTTGCGATGATACTTCTATTTTCCAAAACACAAGGAGAAGCAATAAGTGGTATCACACCAAGTAGTAAGTAAGTGTAAGTCACACCAACTGGAAGTTGTAAATCGTCTTTGATGTGTGAGATTTTGCTGTGAGTATTCTTGTGGTGTGGTGGCTTTTCTGTTTGTTTTCTATTTCAGCTCTGTCCCTGTGAGCCAGGCTCTCGCAACGGCATCCAAGTCAACGTGCATTGGTCGTGATGGTAAAACGGGATGGATTTCTATTTTGACGGGGAGTGTCAATGTAGTTGAAGATTGAGCGATCAATTCACGGTTGTTTGCTCAAACCTAATTCCCCCATATTTTTGCGGAGTCATCAATCTGCCAGTCATCGTTTTATCGTTCGCTGTTCAGCGGAAGATAAAAACTATCAGAAGTATTATCATGATTTATTGTTATAACTGACAATCTAGCGGATTTTTCCAACTGTGCACAGAAATGATTGTACATAAGTGAAAAGGATGTTTTATACTACTGGGATTAACATTTATCAAGTGTATGTATAATCTCCAGTGTACATGTTAAACATATTTTGCTATCGACTGTAAATTGTGACTGAATAATATGATCCTATTTCTGTAACAATTTGATGATGCCTGTAAACTGGCGTCCCTCATGTACTGTATCATGAGAATAAACTTATTTATTTATTTATTCTTAGACCTTGTGTATAATAACCTTATTGTTGGTTACATGTTGGCGTAAGAATAAAGGATTCTCGAGTCGCCAATCTCTGTTCTGGTTTTCGCGTTGGTTAATACAAAGTGTTTCTGAAAGTCTTCGAGGAACAGTGTGAGGTTCAGCGTAGTAAGAGCTGGACATTGACAGTTTTTGAGATTCGGCTGTCAGAGTGGATTTGTATGGATTAGCTTTGTTGTTCTAGTTCGATATCAGTCAAAGAACCATCGCAAACCAGATAGTATCGGACATGTTTCATCCTAGTTTGGAATTCATAGGCAGTACGCACTCACCGACATGGTTGGAATCCAGGACCTTCCGGTTACAAGACAATCCCGTATACCCTGATTTTCAGTGGTATTCCTGGTGATATGAATTCGTAGTCAGAATAAAAAAATAAAGGTATACCAAGTGCCCAATTATCAGACGGAGACGATGAGATTTTTCGGTCGCACTGTGTCCAGCTAACTATGATTTAGAGCAATCAATAGTAAAACAATGTTATTTAAAATACTCATCACGCTGGGTCTTTGAGAAGGCATTCGACACTGTTCACCAATACTTTCTCCTACACAAAATAAGCCAGGCAGGTATAAGTAAGCCACTTCTGTCATGGATAAGGGAGTACCTAGCTGAAAGACAATTTTGCACTAGGGTCAATCAAGTCCGATCATCTTGGCATAGCTCGTCATCAGGAGTGTCGCAGGGTTCTATCCTAGGACCACCGATGTTTTTGATTTTTATCAATGATCTACCATGCCGTATAAGCTGCCCGACTCCTCTATACGCTGATAACCTAAAGATATGGAGGACGATAAAGTGTCCGGAGGACCCAGATAGGCTGCAGGGAGATCTAAACCTTCTGGAAGACTGGGCGGTGGCCAGTGGCATGACTGTCAACCTGGAAAGTGCAAAGTAGTGAAGTTACGCATCTGTAGACTACAGAATGCAAGTTACACCCTGTGCAATGAAAGCTTGTCCTGCACAGCGTTGGAACGTGACTTAGGTCTAGTTCTAAAGGAAAAAATGGACACAAGCGTGAATTACACGGGGGGATGCAGTGAGGTCATATACGGTAATACACTTTATACACAGACATTTAGGTGCACCCACTCCTGAGTTCTTTCTAAGGTTGTACAAAACATACATCAGACCACACCTTGAAGCGCATAATATCATTGCACCCCTACTGCCTAGAAGAGACGCCAACCTTTTGGAAAGAGTCCAACAACGGGCAACAAAAGGAGTGGTTGGTCTCCGAAACAAAACATATGATGAAAGGCTTATGGAATTAGGCCAACGTCTCAGGGGGGATTTAATTACTGCCCACAAAATAACAAATGACCAGAATCACCCAAACAAAGGTGTTCTGCCATTGAGTAGGTATAGGCACCCACGTGGAAATCCCAGAAGGTTAGCTCACCAGAGGGCAAGGACCCGGGTGCGCTCCCACTTCTTTTCACTGCGGGTTTGCCGTCCCTGGAATTCCCTATTGGCAGCTATGGCACCGTCTGTGAACGCCTTTAAGCGAAGGCTGGACAACCATGTAGCGACGCAAGAACTGCATCCAAATGGCCGATCGCCTTAAAATCACATACACCATTCAGAGGTAGACAATCAAATTTGTCGTTTTACTTCTTTACACTCTCTCCCATCCTCCTGTCCTGACAACTTTAACTACACTTATTACTATTGTCATTATTACCGATATATATTATTCACATTATTCTTCAAATTTAACCAGCTGACTATTGTTAAGTTTTCTTATTTCTTTTTCTGTCTGTTAGTCTGAATAACTTCACTAATTATATCTATTATTATTTTCTCTTTTCTTTTGACGACGACACCGGAGGAATAACTGGTGAAAGGATCATTCACACTAGTAACAGTCTTACTACAAACCACATATAACTAATCCCAGCACTACTCCTTTTGGAGTCAACCAAAGCTAAGACAGAATAGTGGCGGAACGAGCTACGCAGAAGTTTGTTGCGTGCGTTGTCTGACTAAACTGCCGTACACATATATTCTAGTACTTCTTCGCTTTTATTAATGTGCGCAGACGTTGTGGCTACTCGACGCCCACAACGTAAATCAAAAGGCACTTGCGAAGATTACGAATGTGTATTGTAGCAGTAGTCAAATTTCGAAATTGTGTCAAGGTAATATTCAACAGTAAATTGACAAATGTTTGCGAAGTACATATAAAATCGGTCTGTATACACATATAATACAAGTGTACAAATTAGATTAAAAAGCGTGTTCACAGTTGGTATAGGGGTACTCCAAGTTTACCGAAGATCAGGAGCCTGTAGCTTACAATCAAAAAGCGAGCACAAAGAAATCAAATTGGTCTATACTATCTCGTGAAAGAGATATTGGATATCGGATCCCCCTTGTCGTGGTCATCACCCATCAGTAAACTGTCTCATTATTCTCTGCTCTTCGTATTTTTTGTCTACTATTTCAGCTTCAGTCCCTTTTTGAAGGTTTGAAAGGAGGTTCGCATACTGATAAAGACATCTTCTAGAAGAATCACATTATCAAACATAGTGAAGTCTGAAGGGAAGGATACCAGGTCATCCTACAAATGTTGGATATTGTATATTGAAAGGCGCTGTTATCAAAAGTTATGAAGGGTTATGGTTTTCAGACTAGACCCATGTGGTGTTGCGTGCATTCTGATAACACAGGCGCTTGTCGTTTACTCCGACTATGTTGTTGTCTTCCATCTAGTACTTCCTGTCCTCAAACATAGGTAATATTTCTGTGTAAATATAGGATTTATTCACTAGTGTTCCATGTTTTCATTCTTTCCAATTGACCTTGAGTATATCCTTTTACTGAAAGCTTACCAAGCAAATTGGATTCTCAGAATCATTGCTTGAAGCACTCAGTAAAGGAGAAAAATAGCATACTTGTGTGAATCTTAGTATATTATTCATAGATGAACTATAGAATTCCATAGCCTGTGTACGTTATATTAGCCTCGAAGCTGAAGTACATCATAAGTCAACGCTGGAGTGATGCAGTTTCTGTGCTGCACCTAAAATTCCAATTTGATCCAAGCTCCTTACATTGTACAATCGCACTGTTCACTAGTATCAAACTATAGCTGGGACGCTATTGTTGAACTTCGCCCAATTAATTATGTTATGTTATTTTTATTGTTTGACTGTGGATTTAACTCACTACACTGTGAGGTACTTTATAATACTTTCGATTGACCTCGTTGCATAGTCTCTTGACATTCGTAGGGTGTATTTTACAGGTTCACTGTGCTAGTCAGACCGAATTAAAGGAAGAATCACAGTAGAGTATAATTCTTGTGCCTGAGAAGCGCAAATAAATTTGAAAATTAAGATAACAGGGCAAAGCCGTTCGCCCAACTTCTCATAAAATTCGCATGTCAAAAGCCTCAATACTAAGTTGCCAGAGTGACTTAAAGTGACTAGATAATATAATTCTTTAACACAAATAGTTAGGGCAATTTAGAGTAGAAAGAGAATGAGGAAGTAACAGTAGTAATGACTTCTTTACAAAGTTCACTTTTCAGTATGTGGTGGTGGCATTAACAGTTAAAGGGAAGCAATTCCAGAAGGCAGATGACAAAAAATTCCTTTGTATGTCTATGGAAGAATTTGGGTGTTTCACCTCGTTTTCTCTCACCTTCTGATGCACATTAAGCATGCCGTGTATCACTTCTAGTCTACTTCGCATCTGCACACACAGTCTGGTTTTTCTCATTTATGATGCGAAGGGAACTGTAGACGCGGTTCTCAGTGCTTAATATCATCCTCATTGTAACAAACTGAGCTCATGTCTAGTCCCATAACATTTCGCACTATAGTCAGGTAGTTCAAAGTTGTCGTGATATTATTAAGGAATTGCAGGTAGGGCTTTCGGTCTGATAGGAAACCGATGTTCGGTGTTAGTTGGTAAAAATTAAGGTGAAAAGGTTATGAGGAGAAACCTTTCAATGAACAAGATTCATTTTTCCTTTCTTGAAAATACACGCGATACAAAGCACAATATTTGATCTTAAAGTCTCAGCGTGTTCCATCTCATTTATGGTTTAGTGCTGCGGCCACTGAGATCTGGATCACTGAGTTCCTGGTCCAAATACTGCTTCATCTGTCTAGATTTGGGCAGTCATTTGATGTCATCAGCCCTCACACCAAAGGTGCGCCTCAGTACTAAACGCAAAGAAATACAAATGATTGTTGAGTGATGTTTAGGTTTTGCAATCAGGAAGTTGGATGCCTTTTTTCGGCGGGAGGCTGAAGCTTCCCATGAAAGGTTGGGTGACTGTCACCCTTTTAATCAATATGTAGAACGACGAAAATAGATTACACCTGTGATTATTCTTTTCCTTAACTCTCTTATCTGGCTCTGCAGTTATATGGTTGATGTCGTCCCAAACTAGAATTCCGTTCACGCGCTTTCCGTACCTTGGTCATCATTAATTGATTCCTCAGGCATTTATAAGCCACCATTAATCTAGCTATCCTAAGTTGTGTCATGAATTTTCTTAATTTTATCTGATAATTAAGTATTACATTTTTGTGCATATTATCACTTACATGTGCTTTTTGAACTGCAATTTTATTGATCTTAATAACTCAATGTTATTTAAAAAAATGTCAATCTTGTCGTTAACGATTACTCGAAGTATATTGTATATATAATTGTTAGGGCGAAGAATTGTAACATGGAAAAACATTACGATTTACAGGATTCGGGATGTTAAAAAAAAAGTCAATGTGTCTGCGCTACCGATAACAGTTTTGAGCTATATAACCAAGTCTCAAGCTATTGGTTCTTAGCATCCCTAGGACTCCAATCAGATAGTTTTAACCTCCCCATTTGGCTCTAACCAAGTCAGTCAAGAATTCATGCATTGATTAAATACCATCAATCCTTTTCCTATATCAGCTAACGTTACTCGTTGAAGAAGACAGTGGCTCGAGATGCGAACAATTGTCCTAGCCATTTTAATGGATGTGACTCCAAAACTTCATCAAATGACCCCCCTTTCCTACCTAGCACTATGCCTAACATCAATGTATTTTACACCACCTAAAAGAAGAGATACAACGCCAACATCCGTAGTCAAAGACAACTAGCCTTTTCAAATATCTCACTTCCAGTGGCTATGTCTCGCAATCATTAAGAATAGAGCGAACTGCTATACAGTATTTTGACATTGTCTTTTCAGTTGGCAGTTTCAACTGTGCGGTTACATCGACTGAGATAGTTTGTACATGTGTTACGCATGCATCCCTAGCTATCACCTTCATCGATAATGGGAAATGTTAGCTGACATAGGGTCAGACTGGAAAAGAGTTAGCTAGTGGTGGTCAAACCAAAACATGGCATCATCAGTCAATGAAATCCACAACAGTTAGTTTAAGCCAGCCGTGTAGGGAGGTGTAGACTTCCCAACTGACTGGTTAGGGTCCTCGAGACGGTAAAAACCAATGAAGCCTGGAGACATTTGATGTGGTGGTTCAAAATCGTTCTCAATGACGGGAGCAGATGCATCCACTCCTCGTGACTTATAATATCCAATAAAACTATATGGTTCTTCCACATTATTATTCTTTTTGCCTCATATCTCTGTTTTGAATCTCTTTTCACTCCTCGTGCATTGTGTGCTACATGAAGTGTGGCTACTCGAACTGCTGCACATCGGTGGAAAGTTCTGCGTTGAGACCAGTCAGTCAGATTTCAACCAAAAGCACTATTGACAAATAGTCCCCTTACCCCACCAAGAAAAAAACCTCAATCCCTGACTACAACTTTTAAATAGTAGTGAGTTGTTATCGTAGTTGTCTTAAATATCTACGTGTGCGAAGGACTTGTAATTTAACCTGTCATCTAAATTAAAATTAATACTTACCGGTTCAGTGCAATATACATTCAAGTAAACGAGGTTAACGCATCTGTTTTTTATTCCTTCACGTTCCCAGTGGTACATAGGGCGCCTTCAAGCTAGAGGCTTGAAGTTTCGGTAGCACTGGTGTTTATTTCTAGGGGGTGGGGTTGCTAGCCTCATGCCCGACCTTCCCACTTTACCATTCTTATTACTGGCTCAGCGAAGTAAGGGAGTGCGTCGGCCGGGGATCGAACCCCCGACCACATGCGTGGTCAGCGAGATGCTTTTTTGTCCATCCTTTCTCCCCATAGTTACAACAGTTCTGCTTGTAGAGATTTATACACTTGTTTTAACAACATATGTATGTAGTTCATTGTTTACATTCAATTTTTTTCTCTTTTTACAGCTTCTGGGCTATAATAAATACAATCTGTTTTAATATTGTGGCTTCTCTCTTATTATTTTCCCATATGTGTGCTGTTCTCACCGACCCAGGTGTAATGCCCTTATATCAGTATTCTATAGAATACTTAAGCACCCTTCAGGTAAATAATTTTTCCCTATGGACTCACTATTTTTCTTTTTATAATGATCTGATTTACTACGGTTATCAAAACAAAAACATCTTAAAATTTATTTTTTACCACTTTATTTATATTTAGTAAATGAATATTTTTCAAGGGAATGGTTATTGAACAAAGAATATTCCTTTTGATAACCTCTTCATCTGGTTCTACAGATATAAATCCGTATTAATGAATGAATTAGGGTTATTAACAACATAAATGTTGTTTAAATAACATCGGATCAATAATAATAGTATTGATGGATTACAGTTCAATAGCGTCAACATAACACTCTACACTGAATGTCAGAAAAATTACGAAAGATAATACAAATTCATGAATTCATAGTCTCTGCTGAAGGCCAGGGCAGTAGTAGTGGCTGGGCTTGCTTTCTTTGCACACAAAGCACTGGTTATTTCACGCAAATCCCGATCACCTCTGCTGTTTGGAGCATGCGGTACCTCGATGTTTTTGGCAATTTATTTGGTACCCGGTAGATGATAGAGAATGGTTCTTCCACGCTGGCTTTGTGGCCGGTTTGGACTAGGTGGTCGAATATCGAACTGTTGATGGTTTTTACTACACTTTTACTCAGTTATACTGGGAAATTTTCTCGAGCACGGAAAATCAAGTTCCTAGAGCAACGGCTGCTTTTATTGATTCGATGTTATTTGAACAACATTAATGTTATTACTAACACTAATTCATTCATTCACCATTATGTATATGTAAGTGTAGAACCTGATGATGAAGTTATTGAAGAGTATTCTTTGTTGAGTAGTCATTGTTTTGAAAAATTTTAGTGGGCATTTTTAATCAGTTAGTACATGAATATTTAACGATGTTTATTTTTAACTTTATCTTCGTTCTTTGCATTCTAAATGGAAGGTGGGGCTTCAAGTGTTTGAAGTGTCAGTAGCGATGGTGTTTGTTTTGTACGAGGTGGTAAGGTTGCTAGCCTCACGCCCCAATGTCCTCCCATTTCTGGGCTCAGTGCTGTGGCTAAGTGAGGTTTCGAGAGTGCGTCATTTGTGTTTTCTCATGACCCCGATGCGGGACGTAAACATTGACGTAAATTGTCTACGATTTTTGGCTTGCAGACAACTCTCATCACACTCACCCACTGAGATTTTTGTGTGTTGCATTTATTGCTGCCCATAATGTACCAAGTTTGCATTGTAATTTTAATAATAATACATATATATGAAGTATAAACAAAGCATCATGAATCCAGATAGGTACTGAGAAACGTTTATGAAGGGCTAAATTGAATGTTGGCTTTTAGTTTTGTACAATAATATTTGGACAACTGATATTTTTCAACCATACGGACCATGGATGTCAATAAGCTTTAGCATCTGAAAGAGAGAATAAATTAGTTTTATGCTCCTTGATGGAAGCCATGCAAACATTTGATTGTTAAAATACTCTTGAACTGGTGTTCGTGTGCAAAGAACCTTCCTACAGAAAATGCGTGGTTGCAGATGAAATTTAATTGTTCAATTCTTGAAAATAATTTCAAATAATCTTTTGTGACCATTGGAATCAAGCGACTGCGTTGCTGGTAACCGAGAGAATCACTTCACTGTTATCACTTAGGCAAACTTCATTGTCAACCTCCAACCGTCCTTGAAATTGTTTACATAATATACTAGGATTCTCTACAAAGCAATAGTTCAGCTGTAAAAACCCAGTCAGACTTGGAAATTATAGCGATCCATAACTACTGATTTTCAAATTATTATCGTTATTATTATTCCCTTGGGTTCCGAGTGGAGCATAGGGTTTCAACACCACATCTCCATGTCATCCTGTTCTCAGAAGTTCTCTCTAGGTCATCAACTTCCTTCTCACATTATGTCCTCTTTGTCATTCCTGAGCCTATGCCCAACTGAGCTTCCACTGGAGGGCGTGGCGCGCCCAACAGTCTCCTCAGTCTGTGCCAGATTCGTCTCCACTTCCTTATGCATTTTTGTTCTTGGTTTTTAAATGATACTTTGTTTTTTTCTCGGCTTACTTGAAGGACTTTATATCTTATTTTACAGAAACCTGAAGGATGGACTACATGCAATAAATGTGGCATACATCGTCCACCACGAGCTCATCATTGTCGTATTTGTCGACGTTGTGTAAGACGAATGGATCATCATTGTCCATGGTGAGCCATTTAGTGAATGAATGCATAAATATATGTTGCATTTTGGTTTCCTCTTTAAATTGTCATCGAAACTTTTCCCTTATTATCGTAGTGTTGCTTGTATTTTCCCCCTCACAAAATGTGTGTGTGTCTAGATGTATTTTATTGGCTTTTGGTACTCGATTCTCAACTAGTTTTGGCCAGGGTTCGAGTCCCACTCCATGGGTTGTAAGATAATCTCATCACTCCCGTCCACACAATAAATTAGGCTGGTGTCCATTCTTGTCTAAGTGGGTTCTTACTCAAAAATCGAAGATAAAAATGGAGGATGATCAGAAGAGCTTTATGTGCTTTTAGAAGTGTGTAGGTGGTTGTTACTTCCCGACCACCCACTCTGTGGATATTGATTTTTCCTCGGGGTACGTGCAGCAGAAGGAGGATTTGTGTTTCATGACAGAAGAGTCCAGGGAGAACCGCTTCTGGCCGGTCACACATAACAGCCTGTCCGAATGGGTTCCTGGAGTTGTGACCGTATTGAGATTGTGCCATTGGCTACGGAACACCGAAAGGCAAGTCTGGATATACAAATTTCGGGGTTGACCTTTGTTAATCACTCCGCCCCTCATCTCCAGAGCGAAGATACAACATAACCGGCTTACGGTCATCTGAGGGAAACACCTTACTGCTGTTACATCCATTTACTTTATGAGTACGACTTCACCCATGGACATCCATCGTATTGTCTGTCTGTCTGTTTTCGACATAGAACTTTGCACATATGTGCGACAGTTCAGGTCGCCACACTCCATGTAGTATACAAAGCAAGAGAAGAAAGCAGAAGAAATGCATAATAGAGACAGTAGACAGAGGTGTGAGACAAAGGAACAGTAATAACGAAGAACAAAACAACTTCATCGGAAATTATAAGTCACAAGGAGTGGATGCATCTGCACCAGTCGTCGCCGAGAACGATTTTGAGCCATGTCACCAATTGTTTCCAACCATTGTCCATTGTCGAGGAAGGTGATGACTAGGCATACGTAACACATGTCCTAACCATCTCAGTCGATGCAACTTCACAACCTCGTCGATTGATTTCCCCTGCTTACCTAGAATTCGACGCCTAACCTCAATATTGCTCACCTTATTATGTCACTTCACACGGGAAATAGAATGCAGACACCTATGATCAAAGACAGCAAGCTAGCCTGGCTTTTCATATCCTCCCCTCTCTGTGGCCAGGTCTCGCTCACAGCTATAAAGGAGGACGGAGCGGGCTGATGAGCAGTACACCCGCCCGTCGATCGATAGCCAGCCGGATATCACGTCTACACCAGAGACGGCGTAAACTGGCATATGCGAAACGATCCCCCTGTATTCGTGCTGAGATTTCGTCAGAGATCAACCCGTTGGTACTGGCTGATGGTACTTCCCAAATAAGTGAAGCGGTCAACGTGCTCTACCACTTCACTTCCTATTTTTAAACTAGGCGTCGATGTAGTCCACTCCTGTAACATCATCTTGCATTTGGCGGGAGCGAATCGCATGCCAAACATCCGTAGATTGCGGCTCAAGGTGTTTAGAAGACTCTGCATTTTGTCAGCGTCTTCGCCTAGAAGGATTATATCGTCTGCATATTCCAAGTCAACGAGATTATTCCCCGGTAGCAAGTCAATCCCTGAGTCGCTGAAGTCACTTAGGGTTAAGTCCATTAACACATCTATGATGAAGATGAATAGAAATGGGGATAATGGGCATCCTTGACGGACACCACTAGTCGTCATCAGTTCAGATGACAGCTCGCCGTAAGCCCTCACCTGGCTGTATGAGTACGAGTAGAGTGCCTTAATCAGTGCAATATATTTTCTCGGAATTCCCTTTACAGCCAAGCATCTCCAGAGCACCTCCCGATCGACAGAGTCGAATGCTACCTTTAGGTCAAGAAATATAATGACTATTGGGCGCCGGTAGGAATGCCTATGTTCTAGAGTCTGTCGGAGGGTGAAGATATGATCAATACACCCTCTTCCTGGTCTAAAGCCTGCCTGGCTCTCTCGTGTTTGTGCCTCCCGAGTACCACTTAGTCTACGCAATATTAATGAACCTAGGACTTAAGATACTATATTAGTCAAGCTAATCCCTCTGTGGTTATCACAGGAAGACTTGTCTCCCTTCTTGTGTGTCGGGATGATCAGTGACTTACACCAACCCGATGGGACTTCATCTGATTCCCAGACGCTGCCTAGAACCTCAGTTAATGCAAACAGTAAACTGTCTCCACCGTACTTAAATACCTCTGGAGTCATTCCGTCAGGTCCCGCTGCTTTGCCTTGTTTCAGATTGCTGACACCTTTAGTAACCTCAGTTAGGGATAGGGGACCTGTGTCTATATCCCATTCAGGGAGGTGTTGAATGTTCGGCAGGTTAAGCGTGACTGTAGGCCAATTAAACTTCTCCTCATAGTGCTCTTTCCAGCGTTCCAGTCGTCTATCCTGGGAGCCACTTTTCTCAGAGATTGTTTCACTTATCATTTGCCTTTTGTCACCTGTTTCCCTGATAAGCCCAAATAGTTGTCTGGTGTCGCCCATCTTCACTTCATCGGGTTCTAGCGTTTAACCTCAACAATGATTACATTTGTGATACTGGTGCATGTAAGCAATATTACAAGCGCATGTGTATGATAAAAAAAAATAAACACCTTTGGCTTTATAATGTCTTCTACCTCTGGTTATCATACTTTTTTACATATACACGTAGCAAAGCAAACTGCTTCAGTGGCTTTAGTGACCGAAATTTGTTATCTTATGTAGATCTTATTAGCTCTTCGTCAAATGTAAGATGATGCTACAGGACTGAAATACATCAACCCATTCCTGGATTCCATTTAGTGGAGTGTGTTGACCATTTACCCCACTTATTTGGGAAGTTTCATCAGTCAACGCCAGTGGGTTGATCGCTGACAAAATCTCAGTACGGACACAGAAGGCTCGTTTGGCATATGCCAACCAATCGAAGCCATCTCTGGCTAAGTAGAGGTGATATCCGGTTGGCGGACTGTCGACCAAAGGGTGTGTGTACTGTTCGACTTTTCGCTCTGCCCTCCTTTATGGCAGGCTGTGAGTGAGACATGGTCATTGAAAGTGAAAGACATGAAAAGACAGGCTAGCTACCTGTCTTTGATCATAGGTGTCTGCATTCTATCTTCCGTGTTAAGTGATATAATAGGGTGAGCAATATTGAGGTTAAGCATCGGTCGAGTGCTAGGTAGATGGGAGGAAAAATCGGTCGACGAGGTTGTGAAGTTACATCGATTGAGAGAGATGGTTAAGACATATGTTAAGCATGCATGCCTAGCCGTTGACCACCTTCCTTGGCAACAGGCAGTGTTATTATTATTATTTTTTTTTGATTACAGCTTGACTCCATACCGTATTTTTGCACAGGTATGGAATTTTCAGCATGTGATATCGGTAGCCCTAATTTTGCAGGCCAACCATAGATATCAGGTGTGCGTCGGCAGGGGATCGAACCCCGGACCATTTGCATGGTCGGCGAGAGCCCTAACCACTGTGCTACTGACGCTGACATAGGAGAGATACGGTTGGAAAAGAGTAAGCTAGTGGTGGTCAAACCAAAATATGGCTTCATCAGTCAATGAAGAAATCCACAACAGTTAGTTTAGGCCAGTCACTCACGTATGGGGGTGTAGACTGCTGGGTTGTGGTCTTCAGGATGGTAAGAAGTGTTGTGGACTAAACGGCTAAGTTCGTTTATACAGGAAATAAAAAGAACAGAACAAATACAAACATGTAGGTCTGTAGAAAGGAATTCAGTCCACATAAATTAATATACTCATAAAATACAGTTATTTGGTGAGTTATAATTGTCCCGAAATACACAAGTAAAGACGTACAGAATTGTAGTGATGAAGTAGTCCTTTTTTGGATATACAGTTGCTCACTCTACTTAAGAGTATGCCGACGGCCTGAGGGTATTTGCGGAGAGCAAAGTAGATTGAACCAAAGGATCCGAATGTGGATGTACGGATCAGACACGAGTCAGAGTTGATTGGCAAATGTGGAAAGCAAAAAGCTGGAAAGGGAAGTTGTATCGTCCTTATTGTGCGCCGAACTAAGTAGTGTATTTGTTCAGTCTCATGTAACAACTATGATTTACTGTGAATTCATTATTTTAACTATTTTACAATGAACATATATAATTTGATATTTTTCGGCCTCCACAGAAGGTTGTTGGCTGATATGATTCAAAATTGTTCTCAATGGTGCAAGTACACTTCACCCTTTTGTAATCCCCCCGTATCCAGTAAACTCTCATGTTTATTCCAGATTACTATTCTTTCTCTATTTACCTCACATATCTGCTCCTTAGAGTTCTTTTGAATTCCTTTCTTCTCTCTCTTTGTGTGCTGTTATATGGTGTTGTTAGAGTGTGGTAACTGGAACTGCTGCATTTCTGTGTTAAACTTCTATGTTGAAATTCAGTCAGTTGGTCAACAATCAGTCTTACAATCTAGCATTATATAATCGACTTATATGTTTCTCTTAACCTTAATTGTCTGCATGTGTGTCTGAACATTTGTTTGTTTAATCATAACGTTTTCCAGTATCTTTATTATTATTATTACTATGCTTAATTGTAAAAATTATATTCACAATCTTATCATTCCATTGACAAATGAGCATAACTGGTTTTATATCGTTCATCACATTTATATTTTGTTGTTGTAATGTTACGTTTGTATGTTAGAGTAAAACCTGACTAATAGATTTCGTTGGAAACACAATAGTGTTCACGCCTACTTACATGTGCTGTTCTTAACACAATTAATTAATTAATTATTACGGAATTCTTTTCTTTGTATTTTTTTCTGTGTTTTCTTGAAATCTTAGGATCAATAATTGTGTTGGTGAATGTAATCAGAAGTACTTTATACAATTTTTAATTTATGTCGGTAAGTCTCTGTTTTGCAGTTTGTGTTTCTTTCCTTTTCTTCTTTTTTTGACTGCCTTTTTTGTTGTCGTTGGTGATGGTGAGGGAATACTGTCGTCACAATAGTTTAACTGATTAAATTTAGTCTGTACCAAACAAAGGAATAAGACTCCATGTTTTGTTTTCCCTCACGTTCCGCAGTGGAACATAGGCTTTCAAGCTGGTGTCTTGAAGTTTCTGTAGCAGTGTTTAGTTTTACAGGATAGGGTTGCTAGACAGCCTCACGCCCAACCTTTCCTCTTTACCAGCTTTTTTATTTCTGGCCTAGTGAGGTAAAGGAGTGCGTCAGTGGCCGGGGATCAAACCCTGGACCATGTGCATGGTCGGCGAGTGTCCTAACCGCTATGCAGTCGACGCTATTAGACTCCGTGATATTTAATTATTGTCAAGTATTGGTTTTGTAGGGATTTTGTTTAATTGGTTGGAGGATTTCATCATGAGCTAACATCAGTTAAAGAACTATTGGAAAACCAACAGGGACTCTTCAGCTGTGCGCATTCGCCACCGGGGTTCTAACCCAGGACCTTCCGGTTACAAGGTTAGCGAGCTCGTAGACCATTAAGCCACTGGGACCGATATCAGCTCATGGGTATTGTAATCCTCCAACCAGTCAAACAGAATCACTACAAACCAATAATAATTGAAAATTGTTCCTACGCTGACTAGCGACTGGCCCTATTCATGCAGTTACCCTGCGGTTCTAGTGGCAAGCCGTAACCATTAGGGTACAGTAAGTCGACGGTGAGGACATTTACTCACTGAAGGCGTTGCTAAGTGGTCGCGCTACGTCGTGAATTGACAGAAGTTGGAAGTGATGGGCTGGCCATTAGATTGGGTCCCAGTGATTTAATTATTACTTAATATCTAATCAAAGTATCCATTGCAGTCCTACAGGAGGTCGATTGCGAGTGCGAATAGCTCAATGGGAGCGTCGTCTCTACCTGACTGCAGCCCTGGGTGACCCCGGTCTGGATCTCAGAAGTGCCATGAGAATTCCTACTAGGTTGCAGATATATACGCCTTGCTGACTGGTGCCAGCGATCACGGAATCTAGGTCATCTTGCCGACCGCCCCCACAACCATCTAACAAGAATCCAGAGAGGAAGGAACCGTGTTGGTGAGAAGCCACCTAGCGTGGCGTGGCCACACTCCATACTTGATCGATTGAATTCAGTCTACAGCAGACGAAAGACCTTGATGTATGCATGCATGACATTGGTTACTGCTTAATGTTCAATCAAAAATGGACAGTACTCTTACGAAGAAATTTACATGCTTCTCCTTATGGACTAAAGGCTTTATTTTTGTTCAAACACGTCAACAGGTCACATTAAGCACTTAATCTGGTTTATTTCAAGGAATGTTGAATGCTCTAGATATTTGTGTGTGTGTGTGTGTTTAGACTCAGTTGTCTGGAACAGATTTCTCATGTACCATACCAGGCTAAAAAAACAAAACCATCGTGTGAGGGGTGATGATGAGGTGATTGGTGCCGGTTGTTGTTGTTGCTATTCATGACCTCTGTCTTCTCTATGTTCATTACCTGAAGTCCTGTCTTCGCTGCCTCACCTCTTCAGCCAGGACATCTATTAATCCTATAGGCAATAATGAGTCATTCAATGCCGATCCAGTTGTCTGAATAGTTAAGTCATTAGGCTAGCTAGTCTTGTCATCTGTAAATAATTCTCTCAAGCTACCATTGCCTTTATCGTAGAATTTTAATTAGGATTGTAATTCCAGACTCTGTTGAATTGTTTTCGTATTCTATTTGTATCAGCATACAGTTGTTTTTTGACTTGAAATCAGTCCTCGAAAATCATCTTAATACTGTCATTACTTTTCTACTAAAGTGCTTCGAAGATTTAAATGTAAATTATGGGTCATGACGCAATTACAGACTACAAGGGAACATGACTAGGACGAAACAATTGTCCAGTGTACTGCTTAATTGTTAAGGCTTCTCTGATTGATGTCGCCTCTCGTGATGATGAAACTTGTCATGCAATTGAGAAATCTTTTAGGGAATTGTGTGCCTCTAGCTTGAAGCGCTATGTTCCACTGGGAACTCAAAGGAACAGAATTAGTAAGTAGATAAATAGGGAACTGCAGTATCAAAGCTTCTATAGAAAGGTGGTCTTTCTCAGTTCGATTTTTGTCTTAAGTCTGATTCTGGATTGATATCAGTTAGAGTGTCATTGAACACCAGGAAGGACAACTGTACAACTTTTTCTTCCTGGTTTGGAACTTCATCAGTACGCAGCCATGACCTCACAACTCAAGGACCAAACCTGGGATCTTCAGGTTAGGAGGTTAGCCTTGGTGTCCACTAAACCACAGGAACAGAATTCGATAGCCCATGAATTCAAACTTCTAACGATTCGTGATACATACATAATGCAACTGTCAGCGTATGTTATCGGTCAAGTATTTATCCTCATTCCCCCCCCCCACCACCACCACTGGTCACGACTTCTCACTTCATCCTATACTCAGTCACTAGTGAGCATCGGTTTAATTCCCAAGTGTTAGTTTGTAGGTTAACGAGCCCTCCTCGTAACCTTATGGTCGTCGGTGGGGTCATAGGTGCATACCGCTGAAAAGTCCCAAACTGGGACGAAACGGCTGCTCAGTACTTCCTGGTTTTCAGTAGTTCTCTAATTGAAATTGATGCGTGGTATTAAAACTTCTGTGAAAATTTGGCTTTTCTAAGTTTAATTTCCGTATCAAGTTTGGGACCCAACCCAGAATTTTCAGGTTACAAGACTATTTCGTTTGTCTACTCAGCCACTTGGGCGGAATCTAGCGGTTGAGGAATTCTAACTTCTGCCGATAAGGGATATTAACTCAACTGCAAGTCATTGGTGTCATTAGTGTGTGTATTTGTCCTGATTCCCGACCTAATGTGGAACCCATTGGCGCCAACTTTCTAAGGTTAGTTTTCGTTTCAAGTGTGGCCAAGGATTAATATCGTTTGGAGAGATCCATTGGAAACTCAGGGTGCAGTGAACATTTGTTTCGTCCTAGTTTGGGACTGTTCGGCAGTACAAATATCATCCATGACCTCATCGAGGGGGTGGGGTAAGAACATCGGTTCATATTCTGATTAGCAATACTTCTTCCAGTGTGTACAAATATCATATAGTCGTGCCCATTTTTTAAAATGTATCATCTTTTCCACTGTAATTCTGTTTTTATCCTTTATCTTCTTTCAACATCCATCATTTATAGGTATTCTTTGTATATATGCTTTAATATTGGTTCTTATATGTCGAGCTATGATCTCTGCTAGTCTAAAAGAAAATGTTGGTAGTTCAGATGTTATAGTCGTGTAAGTGACCATTATCTGTTTTTCTTTGAAAAATTATATTCTTATTTTGAATAAAGCAAGAACAACAGTGATGGCTTGTGCAGAATAATATGATACCATCATTGTTTATTTCGTTGGCTTCTCATCAGCTGCTTGAACATAGCCGAAAGAAATTATTGTTAAATTTATGTACCGAAAATTTTAACATACTTGCGAATGTGGTCACATGATGACAATTGACAAAAGCCTCCGGACTTAGTGAACAGTACTCAGAAAATTACGCTTATATGGTTTTTACACAGGCAGTTCAAGTTTAAACCAAAATGAATGTATGCATACAATGGTAAAGGAGTTACGTAATAAAGACGAGATATGCGCTAGATGCAGAGTGACTAATAAATTGGATAACAATGTACTGAGTTCAACTCAAATCATAGAAAGAAGAGACAAACAAAATTACACTAAATCGAAAGGAAGTGATAATAAAGCTGAAGATTACGTAATCAGATGAAAGATAGAATAATGCCATCCATTTATTAGGATGAGCAAGGAAAGACTGATAACCGCCTCTTTCTGAACACGCAAATCGTGTATCGGGCGTTTGATAGAGATTATCTCGGCAAACCTTCGGAGAATTGAGTTATTTTGTTTATTGTTAATTTTCAAAGAATTTGCGATTTCCATCTCATGACCTGTACCAAGGATATGCTTGGCAACGGCACTATTGTAAGTCTTTGTTCCCTTGAGACCGTAGGCTTTTCGGTACATGTTCATAAAATCGGAGGTGTGCCCTTCTTTCTGTCCTATCAATGTAACTGCTCTTGCAGATACACGTAAATTTGCACATACAGTTAAAGTTAACATGAGAAGGATATCTGTCGATTGTTGATTGCACCAAAGAGCAAGTTGTTCGATAGACAGGAACCAACTTGGCTGCAGGATAGGCTGTGGTTAATGACTTACTCAGTCTTCTGTTGACTATTGCTGCAATAAAACCATTTTCAAAATTGAGTTGAATGAAGACAGGCTTTTTTCCCACTGTGATTTGTTTGATATTTGAGCATTCACATTTCCATATCTGGAGGTAACTTTAATTTCTCAAAATCTTTTCGAGAGTCATAAATTCTTCCTCTAATTTCGCTACAGAGCATATTTTCATAGCTCTACAGTGCAGAGTGTTGACTAATGTTCGTTTAAAGCTGTTTGGACAAAAACTTTTAAAATGTAGACATCGTCCATTCCATGTGGGCTTTCAGTAAATTGACCTTTGGAGACTACCATCTTCTAGGCGTTGCATGACACTGTCAAGGAAATGGAACTTTCCATGGAGAATTCAATATATGTGTGTGCGTCGTTGAATAATCTGAGTAGGTAAGGAGCATGACTTTCATTGTTGCACACTACAGATGTGTCATCGACAATAAGAAGTTTTTTCGTCGATTGCTTGCTTCAACTTTGTTCTTTCAAGTTTAGACATGAAGATCTATGCTAAAATGGGACCAAGTGGAGAATACCCATAGTTACGCCATTTTATTTTGTATCTTTTTTGTCAATGTCAGGGAGTAAGTATATTGTACCACCTGAAATATCCAAGGATTCGCGTAAAGAGGAAGCTTTGAACACATACAGATTTGTCAACGAATTGCATCCCCATTGATTCCCCATTTTGCTTGAAATCAATCGCTCGGAACATAAGTCTTTCATGTACACTGCGGCAGACTACCAGCCAAAGAAGTTATTGTGTGTGTGTGTGTGTGTGTGAGAGGGAGAGAGAGGAGGGCTTGTGATACTACCCAGTTGTTTCCACTCGGAAGAAAGTCGTTGAAACTGTGGGATTTAATCCTTGGGACGATGACCTACTAGCACACTAAAAGTCGAGTACTCAAGCCACTTATGAGCCATGTCTTCTTCATGATCACTGATTCTGGATTCAATAAACTCTTACAATTAATGAGTAACTTACACAAAATCGAAAAATAAGGTAATAAAATGAACTTGAGAGAAGTAAACTTACATTTATTACTATTCTTCTCTTCGGTTCCAAGTGGAACATATCGGCTTTGACAGAACATCTCCATTTCACTCTGTTCTCTTCAGTCTTTTCTAGCTCTGGCTGGCTCCACGATTGCCTGCAAATTTTGCATCTCTTCCACATCACACTTGGATGCGCCTACCCAACTGGTCGTTTCCCATCCAGGTTACACTCAAAGGTGCACCTGGCGCGTGATGTCACTCAACAGTGTCTCTTCAACGTGTGTGTCCAATCCACCTTACTTCCCTACTACAGTTAGTACTATCCTGCAGGCCAGTGAGTCATCTTCACTTCGCTCTGTGACAACAAACAACGATGAGAGCTGTAGAAACACTCCGACAGCCTCTAGAAGCCACGTTGCCAACTTCATATAGAAGCATTCAACGTCAGGACCCTTTGCCAAATCGGGCACCAGGCATCGCTAGCAAGAACGTCGGCATCTCAAGCCATGGATGTATGTTGTGTTTTGGAGACACGTATACAAGACCTGAGTATGGTTATTCACTTAATCCCACCTCAGCCAGCCAACAAGGTGAATCTGCAAAATTCACTTTAAGGGTGTCAAGAGACTCCTCAGGTAGTTCGCAGGGACTTACAGATGTTAAGACAGAAAAATACCCAGTAGATATGCCAGTTTACGCCGTCTCTGGCACAGGCGAGATATTCGGCTGGCTGTCGGCCAAAGGGCGTGTGTACTGTCCAGCAGTCCGCTCTGTCCTCCTGTATGGCTGTGAGTCCTGGCCATTGAAATGCATTTGGCCGATCCTTGCGCCAAATTTCTGAACGCTGCAGAAAAACTGACTTGACATTGCATAAGTGTTGGAAATCCGAATCTTGTTCTTTATCCTGAGTGCAGCAGATTTTCATACGAATTTCAGATTAACGAAGATCAAAGATCTTGCTCTCCTGGTCCTGGTTTGCTTTGTCACCATCCCTGTAGTTGAAGCATTGTGCTGCCTAGAAAACTGAATGGGATGACTTTTCCTTAACATTTTCCCTCTAAGTAGCGAATAATACTTGTTGTTTACAGGATTTCATCCTGAGCTGACATTGGTTAGGGAACCATTGGAAAACCAGCTGGGAGTACTGGACAGCCAGTTGTTTCGTCAGCCTAGTTTGGGACTTTTCATCAGTATGCATCCACCACTACTGGGGTTCGAACCCAGGACCTTCTGGTTACAAGGCTAGCCTGCTCGTAGACCATTCATCAGCCACTGGAACCCGACCCAATGGCAAGTCTATGAATAACAACTTCTGCCAATTCACGACATAGCGCAATCACTAGCCAATGTCTTCGGCGAGTATTTGTTCTCACACCCGACCTGCTGTACCCTACTGATCACGACTTCCCGGCAAACCAATACTTGAATACTGTTGTTTGTCACCGGGTATGGTATCTTCATCACCTCAGCGATCCTCTGCGTTCACTTGGATCCCTGTCTTCGCTGTTAGCCTTTTCTACTAATGCGTTGGTTTTTGCCTGTGGATCTTCGAGTTTGTGTAATGTTAGACATGAATGCTGCACGATATCCGGGTCTTCCATACAGTGTCTACTCGTCGGTTCAACGTATTATTGTGTCCTCGAACGACATAGGCGGTCTGTTGCATCATCCAGTCCACCCTAATCAAGAATCTCATCTATGATAGTAGACAGCCTTGTCCTATGATTTAGATATAATTTTTTCTCTACTGTATTATTATAGCTTTAGCAAGTAGTGTGCTCTCATTGGGATCTATCTATATCAGATTTCATGGATTGAAATACGTTCTTTAACTATCTGTCGTGACTACAGCGACTTTGTTCTTATGCTTCAGTCCTACTGTGAAGGCTTGAGGTAGGTCGATTGTGATATAGCTAATCTAAGGACTACAACAATTCCTAGAATACACCAGTAGTGTGGTGGTGTGATACAGACAATGGGTTCCAGTGGAATATTATTCTCACAGTTCAGTACTGCATTAGCAACAGAATAATATATATGTATTTGCACATTTTATTTCATGTCGTTTAATCTAAACCGAAATCACACGCTCAGTGATTGGTTAAAGAATATAAACTGTATAGATATACAAATAGCTGTTTGATCACTTGAAGAAAATATACCTTGACTTGCGTGTCTTCCCGTCAGCTGTTACAGAAGTAGGTATTCTGAGATTAGAGTTACTGAGACTTGGCGCACGAGTCACCGAAAGTTTTTCCAATAGGCCACTGCAGACTTTCATCAGGAGCTATCTTCGCTCCATACTGAAGATGGCCAAAAAGCTTAGCAACATAGAATTGTGTTAATGAACCAACCAAGTGCCTATTGTCCAACAGAAATACCGTAGAAAATGGGGGTGCGTTGGAAAAATGTTGTGGAGACCGTTGAGTGACATCACACCCTCCAGTTAAGCCCCAATGGGAGAGGACGAGTCGGGTGTTTGAAGATGCCATCGAGGAAGACAAGCGGTTATTGGTAATCGTGGAGTCAACTAAGGACGGCTGCAGAAGGCAGGATGAAATGGAGATGTTCTGTTGAAGACCTATGTGTTCCCACTCGAAACCCGCGGGGAATGATAATAGTGTTAATATGAGGAGGGACTGACGGCATTGCGTGTTTTCTGGAGAGGTTTGAAGTCTACAACTATACAGGAATTATCTGTCACCTCATATGAAAGTTACAAGTTAATTGGTTTTAACATTTTTAACGTAAATATTATGATCAAGTGTTTATGTCTTCACTCAACATTTTGTCTGTAAAACGGCTAACCTTTTGGTTCATTTCTTCTTCTTCTTCACGGTTGCTGCCTTTTAGAGCTCATACATTTGTTCTTGTTGCCATATGCTGCCTTTTTGGATTGTTTATCTTAGCTATTCTATCCGATCAGGTAATTAATTCTTTCTCTATGCATGTAATTAATATTATTATTCACTGTTTTTGTAGTTCTCAGTTCTAGAAATATTTTTCTTCTGTTGTGTGAATATTTATTGTCGTTGTCTTGGGGAGTTAACTGATATGCTCTCCTCTGAAATTGTCATCCAGTTTAGTATCTTGGTGTTCCTGGTCCTATCCAGTACTTTCTGGATACAAGGCTAGCCTGCTCGTAGACCATTCATCAGCCACTGGAACCCGATCCAATGGCAAGTCTATGAATAACAACTTCTGCCAATTCACGACATAGCGCAATCACTAGCCAATGTCTTCGGCGAGCATTTGTCCTCACACCCAACCTACTGCACCCTACCGGTCACAACTTCTCACTAGAACCCCAAGTAACTACCCACCTGAATAGGGCCAGTCGCCAATGAGCATCTCATCGATTTTCAAATTCTGCCAGAAGTTAGAATTCATGGGCCATTGGATCGGGTCCCAGTGGCTTAATGGTATACGAGCTCGCTAGCCTTGTAACCAGAAGGTCCTGGGTTCGAATCCCGGTGGGTGTGTACAAGCTGAAGAGTCCCAAACTAGGACGAAACAGCTGTCCAGTACTCCCAGGTTTTCCAATGGTTCTCTAACCAATGTCACCTCATGATGAAATCCTGTGACCAATCCATCAAATCCCTATAAACCAACACAAGAATAAGATGACTCGGTAGAGTCAAGTTGAATGCAGACAAGTTTATAGAATCGAGTAAAGGTGTAAAAACTAACAAAATCAAAAGATATTTACAAGGGGTGGGGAGAAAATCGTTTTTAAATGCTCAATGCATATTATGTAGTAGGTGGCCACAACAAAGAAAAAAATGCTTGTACAGATATTCCTTTTGAACACTCACAGATTTGGCTTGTTCAGATGAGTTCCAACTGTCTCTGCTGTATGCATGTAAAAGTCAATCGAAGTCGTAGACCATGAGAGACGTTGTGTGAAATACGATAAATAACTTTAGAAGTTTTGTTATAGCCAATTTGATGTCCATCCATTATTAACGAGATGAGCTAGTATTGAGCTGCGTATAGCTTTATTTGGACCAATAGAAGAGGTGTTCAGAAATTCGACGATGAACGCCCAATATAGCTAGTTCCACTGGTGAATATCCATGGAAGAGGCGAAACAAGACAGTTTATCTTTACTTTTTGAACTGACACATATAAACTTACTAGTGGAGAGAGAATAAAATTCACACTTGAATCGGAAAATGAACAAGGAGAATTGGCTATTAAGTTATATTGTAAAATAAAACGAATAAAAGAGGGTTAACTGCACACTAGTGGCGTTTATAAAAAGCCAACACATTCTGCTAATAGGTATTTAGACTTTAATTCATTTCATCCGTTGTCTGTAAAGACTGGCTAAGTGAAGTGTTTAACAAACCGAGCAGTAGCACTGAGTAGTACAAAAAAGACCTAAATGATGAAATAAAACAGATAGAAGAAGCGTTGGTATCAAATAACCATCCTTTAAAATTCATTAGGAAGACCAGAAAAGGTCAAAAGCGAAATAAAAATAATTGTGAAACTAGTAGTGATAACATAAATAAGAAAGAATATAAGTCATCTACTGTTATACCATATAAGGAGGGGGGCATCTGAGGCCCTACGTAGGATTCTGAATAAAGCACGAATTAGAGTGGCATTTAAACCTACAAACTCACTCAGGGACAAGCTGTGTGTAGGTTAAAGGACCCAGCTGACCCAATCAGACAAAATAATATAATGTAGAAAATACCTTGCAATGATTGTGAGTGAGGTCCACTACATAAATCAGTCAAACTAGTAGAACAGGAGTAGTCAGATTGTCGGAACATAAGAATTTAGCTATGGTAAGAATGGTTGTTGCCGAGATGATAATTAATTTAGAAAAAAGCTCAGCGGTTGCACTGCACGCATTAACACGATCACACAATAGGTTGCAAGAGGGTTAAAATTCTAAAGGGTAATATAGGTAGGTGAAGATAGAGAGAGGTTGATTACTGAATCCTTCCGTGTTCATCGAGTCTACACCGAACACATGCAATAGGAATGACTCATCATCCATACCGGAAATATGAAAAAATCTACTACCAGTCATCAAGTCAAGGAATGGAAAATAATGGAATTATACAAACGAAGTTAGGAAGTCGTGTGAGTAATGCCTTGATATGATTATGAGTGGCAATCAATTGTGCTCGAAAGATGGTCATCAGTAAACAGTCATCAGTAAAAGACAGGACTCCATGTGAACATAGACAAGACGGAGGTTATGAAAATAACCAACCAACAACAGCAACATCCAGCGTCAATCACCATTTGAAAGAGGTTACTTCATTCACTTATCTAACACTGAGCATTGTCTCAACTACAGGCAGTCGGAACGGACGAGGATGTCAAATCGAGCGAGAATCGGGAAGGCGAGAAACACGTTATTCATCAACCTGAAATCAATCTGGAAATTTCCGTCACTGAGGACCAACAACAAAATTCGTTCGGATTTTCAATACAAACGTCAAATCAGTTCTTTCTATACGGATCAGAAACTTGGCGGGTGGGTCACAAAGAATATTTCCAACAGGGTGACTCAGACCTTTATCAACAACTGTCTTCACTCTATACTGAAGATCAGATGGTCGGGCCGAAAAGAATCACCAACAAGAAACTATGGGAAGAAACAAGCAAAACCAGAGCCAATCGCCAACCAACAAATATGCAGGTGAAAGTGGAGATGGATCGAACATTCACTCGCTGAGGAGGCCGCTGGGTGACATCGCGAGTGCGTCAGGCCATTGCTCGAGTGGAACCAGGCCGAAAGGGAAGCGGCGTGTGTGTCGTCAGTGCAAGGGTGACATGGAGGAGTAAATCGTGTGAAGAGGAGTTGAAAGAGTATGGACTAACTAACATGGATGCAGGTGAAAAGCACAGCAGAAGACAGAAGTGGCAAGTGGAGACGTGCAGTTGAAGCCGCCCTATGTTCCACTAGGAACCCAAGGGAACAATAATAATAATAATAATTCTCTGGGAATGTAAAGGAATAAAAAAAGAGATACCAGATTGTAAATAAATATTCCTTTGACTAAGTCTTCTGCTTCTTCTCCCGTTATAATACTACCTGTAGTCTCCAATCAAAGGTTGAAGGCAATATTGTTGCATTGTTAGGCAATCTTAATCTAATTCTTCAGAATGCTGTAACTTGTCTCATGTTTACTGTGCATGTGTGTGTGTGTATGTGTGTGTATTCAAGTAATTAAAAATGTGAATTTCCTCTTTTATCCTTTTATTGTCTTTACCCCCGCATGCTCTGTGTGTCTACTCCATTGACCATTTCGATGATAATTAGTACAAATCTATAGTCGAGGATACAACAGCTGTTGAAGCATGGCAGTTACGTGCTCTTCCTCATTCATCAGATACTGAAGCTTGTGCTGCTGCGGGATTTCGACGAAAACTATCCAAGCTGACACTGTTTCGTGAAGTATTTGGAAATGGTTAGTGCATTTTAAAATTTTTCTTTAGTGTAGTTGGCGTTATTTATATTTGGATTATATGATGCATACCGATTTGTTTGGTACTTTTCTTAATATCTGATCTATCTTTGATGATTAACTTGTAATTCTTTTGACTATAATGGCTCCTATGAAACGAAGCAACCAAGGTTTTCGTTGTATATATGATTATTCCTTCTTTGGGTTCCGAGTGAAAAATAGGTGAGCTTGAACAACACGTATCTACTTTGTTCTATTTTTTTGCCGCTCGCTATATCTGGCTGACTCCACGATTGTCCATAATCTCTTATCTCCTCCAACTCGTAGGATCTGCCCCATGTCACTTTCGCACTGACAACCCACTCGTCGCTTCCCATTGGAATTCCACTCGAGCAATGGTCTGACGATGATTCGGTGTCATTCGGCGGCCTCCTCAACGTATGTCCGATCCATTCATCTCCATTTTCTCCTACATATCCACTTCTTGAGCAATCTACTATTGTAACAACAGAAGACAAGGGCCAGGCAACAGATCGTTTTATTATGAAAATCAACACGTATTTATACATATTTCACATACATTATTATAGACAAGCACAGTCATCTGATTGGTTGTTTATCAGAAGTTAGGCAGACAAACGCAGGCTTCTGATTGGTTGTTTCGGGATTCCTTGACAAATAGAGTTCTCTATCTGCGAATCATATTTTGCCACGTTAACTTTGCTGTGATTGGTTGTTGACTCAGCCTTGTTCATATTTTCTCACGGCCCATATTAACGTAGCTTAGTGTCAACCAATCGGCTAGCAGCCTGCTCTCACCACACTCGTCCCCCCGTCAAATACGTGCGACTGAAGTCGGCTTGATCTACTTGGTGCAGGCGTCATCGTTGGCTTGTCTCGCTGTATCCATTTCTGGAGCTCGCTGACGTTCACGCGCCTCTTATTGTTCGCCATTGCGACTGTGTCTGCGTAACCCCATCTCGAAGTGACCATATATGGTCCTTCCCACTTTGGAAACTGTTTGCCTGACCCTGTCGAACATTCGTCCATACTTCGGCTCACACTTTCATATGCTGCTTTCACCCGACCTCCCAGCAGCGTCCCAAGTAGCAGCTCCATCGCTGACAGATGTTGAACGCCACTCAACTGCGCAGAAGCCTTGAAATCCTGCCCGAAGATCCATATGTCTCCATCGAAAACAGCAGGGCATAGGCTTTCCATTTGTCGGTAGGCAGCGACACCAAATGTAACAACAGAAGACAAGGGCCAGGCAACAGATCGTTTTATTATGAAAATCAACACGTATTTATACATATTCCACATACATTATTATAGACAAGCACAGTCATCTGATTGGTTGTTTATCAGAAGTTAGGCAGACAAACGCAGGCTTCTGATTGGTTGTTTCGGGATTCCTTGACAAATAGAGTTCTCTATCTGCGAATCATATTTTGCCACGTTAACTTTGCTGTGATTGGTTGTTGACTCAGCCTTGTTCATATTTTCTCACGGCCCATATTAACGTAGCTTAGTGTCAACCAATCGGCTAGCAGCCTGCTCTCACCACACTATCACCTGTTGGTTTGTTCTCAGCCAGAGTTTCTTGCTGCTAATTCTTTCTTGCCGGCCGGCCGGTCGGCTGGCCATTTGATCTTCAGGATGGAGCCAACCAGAGAAGGTGGCAGCTGTTTTATAAAGGTCTGTAACTTATTGGAAATGCTTTCCGTGACGTGCACTGCAAGTTTCTTACCCGTATAAAAAAAAACTGACTGACTTGACATTTATGTTGAAAATCCGAGTCTTTTTCTTTATGCCCCGGCTGAGTGAGTGAAGGAGGAGATTTCCAAACTGTTTGTAAGAGGTTGATGAAGACGTGTATCTTACCTTTCTGATTCTGGCCTGCTTTGATATCTACATCCGTGCTGTGTGCCTGTAGTTGAAACGATGCTTCCTAGCCAGATAAGTGAAGGAGGTGATGTCTTTCAAATCTCTCTCCTGTTGATGGAGATGGGTGCTGGTTGTTGTTGTTGTTGTTATTTTCGTCTGTTGGTTGGTTGGTTGGTTATCTTCATCCCCTCTGTCTTCTCTATGTTCACTTGGAGTCCTGTCCTCGCTCCCTGCCTCGCTTCTTCTGCCATTTTGTTGTTAGATTTTGCCTGTAAATCTTTGAGTTTGTATGACATTAGACATAAATAATAATGTCAGATAATACAATAGTCTTAGCTTTTATAGTCTTCAAACAAACTCACACACTCGCACTTTAATAATCGTAAATGTAGTCATAGTCACAGGTTTGGGAATAACCAGTAGAATGAGAATACACACAACACACACACACACACGTTAATAAACGTACAATTTTGAAATAATAGAAAAGATTTGTAACTCAGGTGGATGATTTGCAATTGATAGTGTTCTCTGAGCTCCTTGGTTTAATTGCGGAGCTTTCATCGTCTTTCTGGACGACATCTTCAGCGCAGTATGTAGGATAAAGTGAAATGATTTAAATTTCTTCATGAGTCTCCCGGTAACCATCTTTAGATATTTATTGACAGTTTTCTATTGATTGGGATTTTAAACTTTCTGATCACCTGATTTACTTCTTATTAGTTGGTATATTTCATCTATATTAACGTGTTTATTAATTGCGTTTTCATTTGAGTACCAGGCTTCTAGGAATTCTCTGGCACATTTGGTGTTTCCTCTGTTTAAGATTTTGACATTATCCCAATCAAATTGATGTCCATGATCGTCTGAATGTATTGATACTAAAGAATTTATATCATGTCTTTTCACGGCTGATTTGTGTTCCTGGATTCTTATTCGAAGGGGACGCCCACTTTGGCCGATGTAATGTTTGTTACAGTTCATACAATTTATATTGTAAATGGTGTTAATTTTATCTCCTTTTTTGTTGGATTTTTTGGTTTGCATAAGATGGAATTAAGCGTTTCGGCTGGTTTGTGTGCTACATCTATATCAAACGGTTTCATTATTCTTCAAGAAGAATGGTTATCCATCATCAATAAGTGTTTAAAGTCGAATTAAAGCACCAACAAAGAACCATCACCAAAGACCAAAAAGAAATTCATCCTAACATACATCAGAAACATATCTGAAATAACGGCCAGAATAACGAAACAGTTTGATATAGATGTAGCACACAAACCAGCCGAAACGCTTAATTCCATCTTATGCAAACCAAAAAATCCAACAAAAAAGGAGATAAAATTAACACCATTTACAATATAAATTGTATGAACTGTAACAAACATTACATCGGCCAAAGTGGGCGTCCCCTTCGAATAAGAACCCAAGAACACAAATCAGCCGTGAAAAGACATGATATAAATTCTTTAGTATCAATACATTCAGACGATCATGGACATCAATTTGATTGGGATAATGTCAAAATCTTAAACAGAGGAAACACCAAATGTGCCAGAGAATTCCTAGAAGCCTGGTACTCAAATGAAAACGCAATTAATAAACACGTTAATATAGATGAAATATACCAACTAATAAGAAGTAAATCAGGTGATCAGAAAGTTTAAAATCCCAATCAATAGAAAACTGTCAATAAATATCTAAAGATGGTTACCGGGAGACTCATGAAGAAATTTAAATCATTTCACTTTATCCTACATACTGCGCTGAAGATGTCGTCCAGAAAGACGATGAAAGCTCCGCAATTAAACCAAGGAGCTCAGAGAACACCATCAATTGCAAACGTACAATTTATTATTGTCACATGGGAATGATCAATAGAGTGAGAATGCTGCATATTAATGCATCACATGTTACTATATATATCGAATTAGAAGGCCAATATACAAAACAGTACGACTCATTGTGATATGAATGGATTAGATACGTGACTGTATGCCTATTTGCAAATCAACACATAAACCTATTCAAGTGTTAGTTTGCACAGATTTGAGCTCACATCAGTTACAAAAAAAATAATTGGAAAACCAGCACTAGACAGCCAGCTGTTTCATCCCAGTTTGGGACTCTTCATCATTTCGCGCCCACCGGATATCAGTCCATGGTGAAGTCCTGTAACCAATCGAATCCCTGTAAACTGACATTTAAATATTAATCTGGTGCTTACTAACGACTGGCTCTATTCTGGTAGGTGGTTACCTGGTTTCTAATGTGAAGCTGTAACAAGTGGGGTAGAGCAGGTCGGGTGTGTGTTTTCACACACACACACACACACACAATCTAGTCTACTTGTATTAGTATTGTTTTTCGCAAATAGTGTACTACATTGTCCAAAGTGGTCTCCCCTCCTCTTCATCTTCGTATCCATGATCATAAACCAACCGTTAAAAGATATGACATCCACTCCCCACACATATCACTCATTGCATTGCATACAGACAGTCAAGGGCATCAATTCGACTGGGACAACCAGTGTTCAAATATTAGACAGAGGACAAAACACTAAGAATGCTGGAAAATTTTGTAGAAGCCTGTCTGGTATTCCAGTAAATCGTCAATCAATAAACACATTGACATAGACAAAATTTATCAATCGATAAGAAAGAAATATCATACACACACAAAGGGTCAAACAATCAACACCAATACAAGTAGACTAGATGGTGTAAAAACAAAGGCAACCAGTCACGTTCAATATCGCAAGGAGAGATGACTATTGAACTCAAGGAGAAATTTAAAGGCTCACTTCATCGAATTGAGGTTTGTATGCTCTAAAGATGTTGTTTAGTAGGGGAGGATGGGGGCGATGAAAGCTTCGCATCTATAAAGCATCCACATAGCTCAGAGAACACAACTAACTACATCAAAATCATCCACCCTGAGCTACAAATCTTCTTCATTATATTCATTAATTTGTTGCGTCATAGTCACAGGTTTGGGAATAACCAGTAGAATGAGAATACAGACAACACACACACACGTTAATAAACGTACAATTTATTATTGTCACATGGGAATAATCAATAGAGTGAGAATGCTGCATATTCATGCATCACATGTTACTATATATATCGAATATACAAAACAGTGTATGACTCATTGTGATATGAATGGATTAGATATGTGACTGTATGCATATTTACAAATCAACACATAAACCTATTCAAGTGTTGGTTTGCACAGATTTGAGTTCACATCAGTTACAGTCGGGTGTGAGAACGAAATACTCTCGCCAGTGATGACATTGGTTGGTGTCAGTTGCGCTGAAATCACGAAATGGTTGAAGTTAGGATTCATGAGGTGGCCACTGAGTGGGATCCCGGTGGCTGGGATGGTCTACGAGCTCACTCTCCTTGTAACCGAAATATTCGAGGTTAAAACCATGATGGATGGGTGCGTACTGATTAGAAGTCCCAAACTAAGCTTGACGAAACAGCTGGTTGTTTAACATTCCCAGCTAGTTTTCCAGTGGTTCTCTAACCGATGTCAGCTCATGATAAAACTCTGTAACGTACAATTATTGTAGAAGAAAGGCTTTATTTTGATGTAGTTGTGTTCTCTGAGCCAGCTGGATGGTTTATAGTTGCGAAGTTTTCATTGCCCCCCAAATAGGCAACATCTTCAGCGCATACAGACTTCAATTTGATGAAGTGAGCTTTTCAATTCTCCCATGAGTTTACAAGTCATCTCTCCTGGTGATGACTTTGAACGTTGTGTATTTTCACACCCTCTAATCTACTTGTATTGGTATTGTATTTTGCGATAAGCACTACATTAACCGAAGTGGATATCCCTCCTTTTCGTCTTTGTATCCATGATCACAAACTAGCCGTCAAAAGATCTGACATCCACTCCCCCATATCGCTGCATACAAACAACTATGGACGTCAATTCGCTTAGGACAAAGTTCAAATATTAGACAGAGGAATGCTAGAGAATTTTTAGAAGGCCGCCTGATATTCCAGTGAATCGTCAATCAATAGACACACATTGACATAGACAAAATTTACCAATCGATAGGAAGGAAATCTCATATACAGAGAGTAAAACTTCAGGTCAAGGAAACAATCAACACCAATATCAAGTAGCAGTCTAGAGGGCGTGAAAATACACAAAAACAACCAATCACGACGTTGTTCAAGATTACCACCTATTTTCTTTTTTATTATATCTTGAAACCACACTGCATTTTTGATACAAGTATGGAATTTTCAGCATGTGATATCGGTAGCCCTTATTTTGCAGGCCGACGATTGATATCAGGTATGCGTTGGCAGTGGATTGAACCCCGGACCATGTGCATGGTCGGCGAAAGTCCTAATCTCTGTGCAACCGACGCACCTATCAGGAGAGATGACTAGTAAACGCGTAGGGAAATTTAAAAACTCACTCCTTCGAACTGAAGTGTGTATGCACTGGGGGTGTTGCCTAGTAGGGGCAATGAAAGCTTCGCAATTATAAACCATCCAGCTAGCACAGAGAACAAAACTACATCAAAATCATCCACGCTGAGCTATAAGTCTTCTCCATCATATTCATGAATTTGCTATATCATGACAGAGACAATGTTAAGCGCGAAACCTATAACTTGCTTTGTTGTTAATAACATAATTTTGGCCCTTTTATTTCTCCCTTATACTCTCTTATTTGTACTGTATAGTGAACAACCTTCTTAAACATACGTAGCCACCTAAAATTATTATCATTGGCTTGGTTTTTTATTCTTTACTCTATTCCTTCTTTTGTGTATCTACTGGTCCCTACTATATTAGCACTATGAGTATTACAAAATTGCCCTGTCATTAACCATCATGTAATATTAGTTTTGTGATTGTTTTTTTTTGTTCGGCAATATTAAACTGACAATCTTGGTTGTGAACGCCACTATCACCATCTTAAAAAAAATTTGTATTATGCATGATTCCTCACACTACCACAACAAACACCGCATTAGAGCTGACAATAAATAAAAAAAATCCTGAAATGTTTATTTTATGATTGTTTAGTGTTGGTCAATCAAATTAACTGATCATCTTGGCGATAAACATTCTTAATTACATTGCATAACTTCTTGTATGAGTATAGCTGTTACTGTTCACCACGCATACACATATCACAGCTTCCACTACCCAATACTGAAATATCATTTATTATTGTCGTTCATTTTCCATTCTACTTCTTGGTATTTTTTTTGCATTTGTTTTTGCTATTTTGTGTCTTTTGTTGTTTTTTTTAATATTTATTTTTTGAAATATTCCTTTTAAATGTTTGATAAAAATAGATGCAATATTGTGGATAAGTGCTGAAAATTTCACACTGTACTACTAGTACGGTTTCTGGAATAAAGCAAATTATTATTATTATTATTATTATTATTATTATTAAAATCATGCAGCGTCTATACTGGAGATGTGGAAAGTGGGAACAAACACAACAAAGGGAAGTTAGAGAGATAGAAAGAGAGAAAAGACGTATATTTAACACAAATTGTGAAACCGTGTGACTAAAATTGTGATATGATTATGAGCAGTAGTAACTTGTGCTCGAAACCTTGTCATCTAGTTGTGAATACTGTGTCAAATAAACTTATCTGATATGGAATTACATTCTGCCACCATAGTGCCCAACTTATACACTTATATATTAAGCTTGGAACTGCATGATCGTATATACACTTAAGATTGATATAATTTAGTTGGAAACCACTTTCTCATACCTTCAATAGTACTTACTAGCCAGAACGAAGTGATATGTAAACACAACATGGGACAGCCTCATTTCATTCTTTCGTGACACAGTTCATCAGCGATGTGTTTTGTCGTCCAAATCAGAAAAACTACAGTGGCTTCTCCTCCTCAACTGTATTCATATTCATCCTCTTAATTATTTGTTCTGCAAACCTTTACGCTTTGTAATTCGCTACTCTTCCACATATTAGATCAGTGGATTTGATGTCACAACAAAAAGTGATACAATGCTGGAAACTGGATAACATTTAGAGTACAGCTGACTGCTACTCATCATCAGTATCAATGCAGTATGTCATCCAGTTATCAACACTGTATCACTATGTGTATCTGAGTAGTGTCGGAATTCTACACATTATTGTTAACAAGATATTACCACCAAAGAAACTTATCGGTACCCGAAACAGTTCCTGTTAGAAATAATCGTCATTATAGATATGTGCTGAAAATTCCACACTGTACCATCAGTACTGTTTCTTGAACATTATTATTATTATTATATTCTAATCTTCTGTGTACATTTTCGCCTTTCTTTACTGTTTCTTTTAGGTCCGCTATATTCTTGGTTAATTCCATGTTCGTATATATTCAAACCCTATCCAAAACAGTATACCACTATATCAAGTATTATACACAATGTAAATTGTTCTAATTCTATTGTCAGTTCATCAAATGATAGCGAAAAGAAAATGAAGAATAGATCAAACTATGCTGCTTCTGCTGTCGATGATGATGGTGACAACGACTCAAATACCGCAGATGCGTTACTAGCTTCATCACAAACTCATTTAATCAATAATAACAATAACAATACTCATCATCAGTATCAGTATCATCAACAGCAATATCCTACAAATGTCTACAATGAGCAACATTCATTTGCTACAATTGAAACTGACAGTTCTTCAGCGAGTTATTGATTTATTTCCTTTTTTGTTTTGCTGTTATTATGATGACAACATCCGGTTTGTGAATGATGCTGTGTGTATAGAAGAAGAAAAATAGATGGTGAGTCGGTGGGTAGGTGGATGGATGATACTATGACGTCGGTGTGTGTGTGTGTGTGTGAAGTGAGGTGACTGTTGGTGATAGGTGGCAATCTGTCGTCAGCGTCTTCATTGAATCAAATCTATCTATCCAATCTATCTATCTGTATGTGTGTATGGCGTGAAGTTCCCTTGCCAATTTGTATCTATAAAGATATATAGACCCATGAAATCTTATTCGATGAGCGTCATTCACTCGTATTCATTTTTCTTTATGTTTTTCGATTGCCTTTTTTCTTGTATAAAAATGGCCTTTTGTTAAAAAAAAGTGATACAAAAGAAGCGCGAAGTATAATAAGTGTACAAAAATGGAAGCCCCCCCCACACTTTTTCTTTTGATGAATTTGAGATTATTCGCTTTTATATACTACTTATATATATAAAGCTACTCTCACTACACACTATTGATTACTTGTAAATTCTGTGCGCGATTATGTGTTCTGTGTGTGCTTTGTGTGTGTGTGTGTGTTAACATATCGATTATTTATGACGGGTAACACCTTTCTTTTGGGATCCTCTCGATCTGTTTATTTATGTCTTTTATTATGTCGGTAACAGGGTTTTCCGACGGGAGTTGTCTTTAGAGAGATGGTGTGTTTCATTTGTGTATATATATATTTACTGAGAATGACTGCTGAGGGGAGGGGCGGAGAAATTTCATTTTCGTACATGCTTGTTCTGAGTACTGTTCATTCTCTGTGCTCCTCTTTCTGCTTTTTTGTTGTTTTGTTTTGTAATTCCCCGTCGCTTTTTCTTGTTTACTTTTTCTCTCCAGTCTGTGTTTTGTCGTATGTTTTTTGATTTCAACTCTATCGAGGGTACTTCATCTTTGCCGTCAGACAGCACTCTGAACGGCTAGCTAGCTAGCTAGCTGTTCAGGGCTCTCTGAATCTCTAATACACTGATGTCAGTTTGTGGCACGGAATCCACCAACTGAAATTCATCCAGATCCTTACAAAAGCCTATTATTATTATTATTATTACTATTACTAATATTTGACTCCTTGATATAATATTAATAAAACTACATTGATGCAATAGAAAAGCCCCCTAATGACTTTAATAATGGAGATTATTCATAAATATGTATACTCATATTTATTTGTCTTTTTTCTCGAGGAAGTTTAACTTGATTTTTGTAATTTTTTCTGATTTTGCCTTGCCCTGCCTTGATTTGCTTTGCTTCGCTTTACTTTGCTTTTTCAACCTGCTTTTTTGGAGGGGGCTGGCGAGCGGGCGGTCGTGTGTGTGTGTGTGTGTAAAGATTATGGCGGACTATGACTGGGTTGTTATTCTCTTTTTTGATGCAGAGTGGTAATCATGATATATGCTCTATTAGTGTTCATGTCGTCTTTTGCCTTGCTTGCGCCCCCCACCCACCCGCGTCGCCGGTTTCCTCATTCTTTTCACATATGTGCACAAGCGTGTGTATCCTTTAATTTATTGATCTATGTGAATACGTATTCCCTTTACCCAAGGAAATATCAAATCATGCTGATCACTGTTTTATGTATGTATGTTTGTATTGTGATATTATTTATTATTTTTATCACTAATTATGCTGATTATGATGATAATTATTTAAAAAAATATAATATAAAAAGTGCTTATTTCACAATGGAATGTTCATCACTTTTTCTTTTCTCTCCATATTGTGAGTGTGTGTGTATGTGTGTGTTGCGTTTGTGTAGGCTTGCTGATATTTTAATGTTGTCTAGTTTGGTTGTATTGTAAGATTTACTGGTAAATTCCTTATCTCTGTGGTGACTCAAACGAAAGACCCAGGTAAAACGGACATAGTGATGTCTGTTGCATTTTCGATTGTTGTGAAAGAGGTGTTCATCGTTGCTAAGTGATTGCTCCATGGTTTCTTTTGCTAGTTTTTGTCCGATAGAGGTATATAATGCTGTCACGTCCATTGGATTTCATTCGCCATTGGTCTTGTTTTGTGATCTGTCCAGTTTTGCTGAGCTTGTTTAAGGTCCTTTGGATGCGGTTGTCCAATGTTTGTATGGGATTTGTTGGGAGTTGTTGATATACATCCTCATCTTTGAGTAGTTCTTCAGCTTTCTTGGTGTATTCTTCTCTGTCCATGACCGCTGTTGTTCTTCTTCCTTTGTCGGCTGGTAGAATGACGATGTCCCTCCTATTTTTCAGCTTTTTGAGGGCCTTTAGTTCTTGAGATTTGAGTTGAGTTGTATGTGTTGTTTTTTCTGTTTGACCATTGGTACAATTATTTGGCGTCTCTCTTCCTGTGTTTCTTCGTTCAAGTTTGATGATTTGAGTAATGATTCAAGGCAGCGAAGAAATCAGTTTTCGAAGCATTTCCGGTGTTGTAGTTTAATCCTTTTTTCTAGTAGTTGTTGTTCCATTTTTGATAGGGTTGTTATGATATGTTGACTACGCAGTCTATAGGCGTATTGTCTGGTTTTGTTTTCTAATCTTGGCTAGCTTGGTTTTGAGGACTCTTCGCCTTTGTTCTCTGTGTTTTCTACTTGACACTGTCAAGTAGAAAACACAGACATAGGGATGACCTTGATCAACCAATTAGATAATGAGCCCTTAATTAAAATCGCGGGAATATATAAGACGCAGTACACGAATCACGCATTGCAAAACTACATCAAGAGGTAGGTACTTGTGTAGCTTCGGAAGATTGTAGATGTGAAGGAGTAGTGTCTTTGCTGAGGTATGCAGCAGCTGTTGATGCATGTATGTGTGCAGATGTCCTCCAGAATATCGTTACAGAAAATCTGTCTGAGAAGAAATATCCTTCCTTCCCTAGGTTTATGAGTACTGTAGAACAGTGATTGAGTCATGAGACAGCACGGTATACAGTTATCTTGATTAATTTATGTACAGAAATAGGCGCTTGGAATATCACTGAAGACTCCAGCGAAGAATTGAGAACATATACGTGAAACGTATCCCGTATAACTATTTTTTTTTAACAATAACCTTTATTTTTATACGAGAGGTTTTAAACTGCATTTGTATCTGTCATGAGCTGATCTGATCGGTTAATCAAGGTCACTACGTCCGTTGGTTAGGTAGTTTCGGTTTTTTGGGTCGCTATAGTTTAGAGTTGCTGATTTATTTATTCATGAGTAAAGAGAGGGAGAATTGAATAGATTGGTTCATTGTCGTATCTCAAGCTGCTCATGTCCTACTTTAACGAGCAATGGTTAGCGGAATAGTCCGCTAGTGTTAGGTTGGGAAAGAGGTACTTCATTTTTGATTGGATACTAGTCAGTAAATAGGGTAATATGTCTAGGCCTATCTTTGTTTGGTGCAGACTGAATTCTGTCAGTCAGTCAGTCAGTGAATTTTGCAATGTGGCCACCATGTTATAATTTGGCTTGCCATCACGCGGTGCATTGTAAATTGTGTTGGTATTATGTGACGCTTGGATGCAATCAGCAGGAAGCCTTTGCGTGGCCTAGGTTTCGTGCTAGTTTGCACTTTATTATTGTTATTATTATTTCGATAAAGAAAGGGAGACGAAATTTGCAGTATAAAATGATATCATTCTATTTCACAGGTTTTCATCAGCTGCAGACTACCTGAAATTACAATGGTTATATAGATGATAGTAACATACTTTAATGTTCGAGTGGTGGTAGAGAAGAGATACTATAAAATTGACGCATCTAAATGAAAGCATTACAATGTTTTTAGTTTAAGTTTTCATCATCAATTTATACGCTTTCAAAGTTGAAAAGAGGGGGAGGGGTAAGACAGAAAACAGAAAAATCGATTAACGGAACAGTGTTAGCGTGTAGGTTCTTATAGCAACTCAAGAAACAAAAACGGTTACAGTTTATGAGATTAAGATTTGTTCAGTGAGTTGAGATCACTGAATTAGATGACTAATCAAGATCAAAATTCTGTTACCAAGGGAGTGAGAGGTTAATCACACTCTCTGTATGCATAAGTCTGGTTTAAGTCTTTTGATTGCGATTGCTTCGGCAAATCGTAGTAAATTTGCTGTCCTTTGTTTGTTTAATATTTTGAAGGACTTAGAAATCTCTACGAGATGTCCGGTATCAACAATGTGTCTGGTAATTGCACTCTGAGAATATCTGCTTCCTTTCAGGCACAGGTTTTTGGGAATATGTTCAGAAAACCGGATATAAGCCCTTCTTTCTGTCCTTCCAATGTACTTGCTCCCGCAAGTGCACGTGAATTGATAAATGCAGTTGGAGGTGACATCAGCAGGGTATTTATCCAGTTTTGAGTGGATTAAAGAAGGAGTGGTGCTGTATACTGTTATGAGTTTTGCTGCTGGGAAGCTTCTATTTATTGCACCTTTCAGTCTTTTGTCAATCTGAAGACAATTATGTGTGATATGAATCAAAATTGTTGTTTAATGGCTGGTGCAGATGCATCCACCCCTTGTGACTTATAATACCTAATAAAACTATACTGTTCTTCGATATTACTGTGCTTTTTGCTTCATATCTCTGTTAATTGTCTCTATTTTGCATCTCTTTTTACTTTTTTCTCTGGTTTTGTGTACTACATGGAGGGAGTGTGGCGACTCGAACTGCTGCACATCGGTGTAAAGTTCTGTGTTGAAACCAGTCAGTCAGTCATGAGTGTATCAGCTTGAACTGATGGACTTCTGTTGAGCAAAGTTCTATGTTGATACTAAGTCAGCCAGTTAGTTTGAAGGCTAAGACATCAGTTAGTTAAAGAATGATTGAAGAGAAAACTTAAATTATGCTTTCTACCGGTATTTAAATGTAACTATTAGGGTAGGGAAATATTTAGTGAGAATTTCATTGATCTGAGAGATTTGATGAGGATTTTGAGCTATATCATTTATAGTCTTTAGTCATTCGTTCTAACCATCCTAGGGACACCTCAACTAG